CGCGGAGGAAGTGGTCCAAGAAGTGGTCCATTACTACAACTCGTGGCTCCTTAAGAACCGCTTCTGTCCGTCGGGGGTGACCGTCGACGACATGGACTACATGTTGAGGAATACGGACGGCTGGGGTCGGCGCCGGCGATACTTGGAGTTCATGTTTGTGCGCGAGTTTGACAACTGGAGGCACCGGAGGGAACAGATGGCCAGCAAAGAGGTGCGCCGACAGGAGAGGGAGCGCCGGGTGTCTGACTTCCGAGGCATAGGCTGTTTCGATGACAATGAGAACATTCAGTACGGCTTTTGGCGGAACACTCTCTTCACGAGATATTACGAGAAATCTCTGAAAAACTATTCGTTGACTCGTATGAGGAGCGCCGCCCTCTTCGGCCAGAAGCTGGTCATCGACTGCTCGTTCGACGAAGAGATGCAGGAATACGAGACTCAGAGCGTCGGCCGACAAATGGCGCGAATATATCACATAAACCGCTCGGACTCGGCGACCACCGAACCCTTTGACCTACACTTCTGTTCGGCGGATCCCGACTCCCGGGTTTACAGGAATCTCCGGAAGTACTTGAATCCCATCCACGAGTGCGACAAACACTACCTCAACGTTCATCGCGAAAGCTATTCCGAGTTGTTTCCCAACGAGCGGCTCATATACCTGTCGCCGGACGCCCGGCACCTGATGACCGACTTTGATCCGAGCGCTACCTATATATTGGGCTCATTAGTGGGTAAGACGTGTCGACTGCCGCTCACCAAATGGAAGGCCGAACGGGAGGGCATAGAGTGCCTGAAACTGCCGATCCATAAGTACGTGGCGCTCATGCCGTTGGTGAAGAGGACTCTTAGCTTTCAGTCGTGTTTCAGGATTTTGCTGGAAATGAAGGCTCACAACGACTGGAAGCTGGCGTTCAGTCGCGGCATTCAAGACCACAAACTCGACGCTAAGTCAAGGGCTCAGTCGTGTGACACATAACTAGACTTTTATTTAAAGATTAGACAATTATTTTTCATAATTTATACATTTAGTGATACAGCATATCATTAGTAGGATTTATTATTGTATTAGCATTTTGTATGCATTTATATTATAGTCATTAATTGTTTTGTTTTATAAATTAATAAAGAATTGACAGAATTTTGCAAAATTTAAAGGATGCATTTTTTTTATTGTGAATATTACAGTTATTCTTGTATTACATTTAATTTGTTCACCAACTTATTAGATTCTCAATTTGACAATAAGTTTGAATTTATTCTTACGGTAATAATACCTACAAATATTCATTTTATTACAGTAATACTGTATACTTGTATAATCGGTAGAAGCCTTTTGAAACTAATCATTATAATTGATTTCATGAAAGTTTTTATTTTATATGAATTATAATCTTATTAATTGCTCATTTTAGTTACCATTGAATTTGTGACACATTTTTGAATGTATTGATCGCAGAGCTAGTATTCATACCTATTAACCAAATGAAAGGGGAGTTACAAACAAAAGTCAGTCACAGAATTAATGCATTATTTAATTAGACTTATTCTCACATAAGATTTGTATGAAATCAATACATATGTTAAACTATTTGATTAAAACAAGTTTTAGTTATCGCAATTGTACCAGTATATAGTTTAAAATGGGCTCCAAATTGGCAAAACTCGCGTCGGAATCGGGTGTTCCGGGTCTGTCCCACGTCTACAGCACTAAAGGCGTGCGGAAAGGCGTGTGGGCTATGGTTTTCATACTGTTTGTGAGTCTAACGATCCGCGATCTGATCGATATGTTGAAAGATTACACGCAATTTCCGGTGTCGGTCAGTGTCCGGGTCACCGACTCGCGAGTGTTGCCCTTCCCGGCGGTCACCGTATGCAACCTGAATGCAGTGCATCGGGGAAGGTTTTGCACCAATAAAAAGGTGGACAAACCCGGCAATGTGGCCAGGATACTTTGCGCAAATTTAGGCGATTTACTCGACTCGTGCGAGATATCAAAGGTTTGTTCAATTAGTCTCTCTCTCTCTCTCTCTCTCTCTCTCTCTCATCTATTCACTCGTTTTAGATGTTGGACGAGCTGCTAAGTAAAGGCCGACTGTATTGCGGGTCTCCCGGAGCCAAAGGCGGTGTTAAGGAGTCTGTAAGGGATAAACCCAAACCTCAAACTAGATCGCAGACCAGACCTCAGCCCAAACGACAGACATCTTCGCCGAGGAATATAACATCTGGTTTCGGGCGACGGATTGGCAAAAGACAGATAAGTCTGTCAGAAGTGGTCAAAACGGTGCGAGACGTCGGCACGTTTGTGAGGGGCGACGGCACCAAAGGCTCGGGAATCGGGGGTCTTATTAACGGCATTCAGGACACCGTTAAGTCCTTCTCGGAGGGCGGCGGACCCATGGATGGCGTCATCACTCAAATCGCTAATATCGTCGGTTTTAACATCACATCCAGCGCTGATATCGTGCCCTCGCTTTTCATGAAAGCCTTCACCGAAGTCACCGTAAGTATAGACACAATACTCTGTGTTATTATTTATTTTATTAGCAAATTCTCTGAATGTTATGCATTGCTGTCAAAGTATAATCTTATAACAAATTAACGCCATATTCACTAAAATACTGGTCAAACACAGGGCTGTCGTCTGGGCTCCGGGAACGCCAAGAGTGCGATGCCGGAGAAGCTGCGGACAACCCTCTCGAACCTGACGGCAACCTTTACGGTGAGTAACGGCCCGTAAACTCAAGTTTCGCAGAAAATATGAACCCATTTGATGGTTGCGTTGCAGAGCGGCGGGTGTCTACTGAAAGCGCCGAAACTGATTGGTCTGTTCCAAGAGATGTCCCAAAAGATGGCGAACACCGTCTCGAAGTGCACCTCTCCGTGGGTCGACTCACTCAGTGGTAGTGTCCATAAGGGGGAGACGCCGTGGTTTATACTGTTGGATATGCTGTCCTCGTGGTTGGCCGAGTTGGCTAAGAACGACCCGTTGGAGGCCCGGGCTATCGGCCACCAGAGCTCAAACCTCATCCAACAGTGCTATTTCGCCGGACGTCACTGCTATGCCTCACAGGACTTCTCCAGCTTTTTCTACAACTCTTACGGCAATTGTTTTACGTATAATTTGCACCTAAATTACAATAAGACTATCAATCAGACGACGGGTGCCCTTTCAGGTGAGCCTATAATCAGCGCTTAATTGTGTCGATAATAGTGCACTATATCTGCGACGGATAGGCTTCACGGGACCCAAGTTTGGCTTAGAGTTGACCCTAAACTTGGAAACCGATCAATACATGCCTACTTCGCGAGAGGCCGGCGCTAAGGTCATAGTGCACGACAGCGCCACCCGGGCTGACCCCNTTCACTACACCTGCCGTACATTCGGATCTATTATACGAATATATAATTTAATGAAATAATAATTGAATTGAATTTAAATGACAAGAAAATGACAAAATATAGCTTGCTAATACTTGATATAAGATTTAAGATCAATCAGGTAAACTCACCCAAAATTATCAACTCTGACCCAAATAAACCAGAACTTCTTCCAGCCTAGATGTTCAATGAAGGCAACCCACGGCAGTTGACCTGCTCAGCCACCCTACCATTGTATATATGGCCCAATGTGTCGATCCCTTGCCATCGGAAACACTTGTCGGCCGAACGGCGCGAATGTCGTGCGAATGTAGTCCGCAGTCATCGGTCGTGACGTTCGGATAGTTAGCTATTTGTACGTCAATTGCATTACAGACCACACAATACACCACAAACACTAACACAGCAATAGTTTTCATTACATTTATTCAAGTGTTTCATACATTATATAAATCTTATGAATATATTACCTATTAATATGTTAATATCCATAATAATTCTTACATTATATTCAAAGTACCTAAATGAATAAATCAATATTTTTGTTTTTATTTTTAATATAAAATGCTAGTGCACTTGATAATTTGATTTTCAAAACAATAAGTAATACAATACTTATATTTTGTGTACGAAATATAATTCATTAATTTTTATACAATAAAATCTTATATTATATTACGGTATTGTAATATTTAATTTTTGATAATTTTTTAGTTTCTTAATTAATTATTCATATAATACAGTGTATATTATTACAAATATAACAATTACTTGTCGCCATTAATTTAGATTTTAATAATAATAATTAATAGATAATAATTAGTCGTTGAATAAAATCATAATATAAGTTTTTATTACATAAAAATTGGATTTCAATTATTAATAATTGAATAATATTAAAATGAATTTAATTTCCATAAACTGTTGTCTAAACTCATTATAAATATAGACTCAAACTCTAAGACTTAACACAACACTGTATCACACTGTAAGAGATATACATGTAATAAGTCTAATATCATATTATGATCTCGAAATGTAATTAATTATAAATTATTTGTTATATTGAATATAATATGACTTATTTTGTTGTGAAATAAGCTGTTAATGGATTTAGTTTTATGATAAAATTATATAATTATAAAATTTTTATCGGATTAAATGTTGCATTAAATTCTTACTATCAGTTTGAATATACAGTATTATATAATGATATGATTCAATTAATGGCTAACGTTAGTTTACTGAATAATATATTTATTTCGAGTAGCATAATTTATTTTGTCGCCTACAATTGTATGCAATTTAATTATTGAATCTATAAAATGTTGCCAGATGATTTACTATAAATATTGATTTCCGTAATATAAAATTACAAATATTTATCATTACAATATTTCATTCATTGCTAAATGGATTTTATGAACAATTTATAAATAAAATACTACAATTAATTGAAAGTATGTTTTATTCATAGTAATGTTATCATTTTAGTTCACAAAAAAACAATTTTAATTACTTAAAAGTTATTATTATAATAGTCTTTTTAATTATATAGTATTTGAAATGATAAATAGTATTATAATAAATATGATTTCAATTTTTGGTGCCACATATCATTCAAAGGCCTTCTTCGTGGTCGGTGTCGACCAAACAGTATTGTCTTTCGACTTATGACTTGATTTATGATTATTATGATTATTATCGGACTTTTTGTGCGCCTTTTGCTTCTTCGGCGACTTCGATGAGCACATGACATAACGACTGATCACTTCAATCAACTCGAAGATAGCGATGAATGAAAAGCCCAAATAGACGCCCAAAATGCCTCCGATCGCACCCAACAGTGCCGTCAACTGTCAAACACCACAAGAATTTCATTGACTTTTACAGAATATTCTCATGTATTATATTATATATTACGTTAAGAATTAAATTAATTTATTTCAATAAAAGATCATTTCCGGGAAAATGACAAAACATTTCTCAATGAATGTTAATTAATAGCCGACTTAACTGTATATTTGGGAAACTGATTGATCTCCTGATAACTCAATGACTGGAAATATATGACAACTTTCGCGAAGTTTTCTCTGAAAACCAAAGCATTCATTATTAGCGACAATTGAGTGCAATGTATGTCTGGACGAGCGCTTTAACATACTTTTCCTCAGCGGACGCCTCCTTCCCGGGCGACGAGAGGGCCGAGCATTGGGGCAACTCTTTGCCGGTCGACACGAACTTCTCGAACGTCCGTTCCTCACACCGGGGCGGACACTGGCAGTCAATGGTCTGGTTGTAGTACATGAGCCGGATCATCTCAGTGCACTCCTCCTGGCCTATCCATCCAAGTATATGTGCACATCATTTAACAATTATTAACAGCTAATGTAATGTGCAATAATTTGACTGGCTATTATCATCTTATAAGTTAGTAGCAGAAAACTTAAACTAAAATATTAAATTCAGTTATAAATTGTTAACATTTTTTATGAAGTTTTATAACTAAATGCAAATGAATTCAATTCAGTGTATGCGAGAAATGAGTGAAATATAGCGACAAATGAATACTTTTATTATTCCTTGTGTTGCACTGCAAGACGTCTGTGTGCGGGGGCGGGGATGAGGACGACCAGCATTTGCAGTGTTTGATAGTAAACCGTTGCAGACATAGCTTCAGACATATCTGCGTGGAGTACGTGTCGTAACTCAAGTGTTTGGCCCAAAGCTCCAGAGTCTGGTCCTGCCATTCGTCGGAGCATTTGTCCGGATAGGGGGCCGGGAGTCGCGTAATGTTGACCAGTCGTACGCCGACGTACGTGACGAGACCGGGCGGCACGTGGACGGCGTCCTGGTCGGGGTCAGCCCGGGTGGCGCTGTCGTGCA